ATCAGGATTTTAAAAAGATTCCCAGGTGATTCTAACGTGCAGCCAAGGTTGAGAACCACTGATCTAGATACAGTACTCAAATTCCTCTCTTCTCCTCTGGGAAGCTGCACTTTCTGCTTTTGGGGGCTTTCTCTTCCTCACGCCTGGTGGCTCCATTGAGCAGTCTTCCTGGCTCTCCCTTTCGTTGCTCTCCCCCAGGACATGCACACAGTCCTGGACTGTGCTCACGATGGGAAAAGAGTGAGAAGGGTAACAAAAAGTATGAACCCAGGGGTTCCAAGCTTGCTCTAAGATGCAACTGTATTTCTACCCTCTCCCATTACACTCTTCTGGGAAGGCAGCCACATACACACGTGCACATGCCCACATGCTTTTGATCTTGCTTTATAAAGATCACCCTGACCCTTTCCTTTATAAGGTACCCTCTTCTGCAGATATAATCAAAGCAAACCACAGGAATACCCTTGTGTTAGTTGGGCTCTTACGATATGTAAAATGCCAGGACATGTTCATTTTAAGGAAATAAGGACATTTCAGAAAGTCATAGCATCAGCCAGAACTACTGCTCATTCCAAGAATTAACTGCAGTCCTTGCAATCCAGCAGCAGGCTGGGATGCCTTGCTCATCCCCTCATTAACACGCATCTATTGCCCAGACTAGAAGAATATTGCAGTTCTTCTGAATCAGCATCTCTCTGCTTCTTTCTCATAGTGGTCTCAGCTTCTGCTACCTCTGCTTCTAGTGACGACTCTCTGTGACTTACATTTAAAACATCCCAAGAGAGAGGCTCTGAATACACTTGTCATTCACTGTTCAACAAGAAAGGCCTTTATGGGACCCAAGTTTCCTGAAGGGACACCTAATTGGTGGCCAGCCTTATTTGTGCCTCGTTTAGAGATCATTGCCTTTGGGTGCTATAGTGGAACTCACTTTATAGATTTAATATGGCTCCAGCACTAAAGGCAGCTGGGAAATGTTGGAGACTCTGTTTAACTTTCTGTGACTGTTTAACTCCCTGTAGCCTCAGGTTTGACTGACTTCCCAGAAAGCCAGAATGCGGCCCAAAGATAATCGTCAGGCCCTAGCAAGGAGGTTAATGAATGTGTAGAGTGTGGAGAACCACGTGATGTTATCTGTTAACTTAGAAGTGCATTGTTCTTTGTAGTGATCTACGTGACTACCCACCATATGCTTTTTACTATTATTCCCCTGTAAAAAAGAGACCCTGTCCCGGGAGGGGGTAGAGTCTTCTCGCAGGCCACCACGGGGAGCAGGCAGCTGCTTTGCCCATGTAGCTAAATTTCGCCTATTAAAGCTCTTATGAGCTTGAATAAGGCTCCGCAACAGTCAGGGAAAGTTAAACAGGAGGAACTACCTCGGGATACTTTCATGGGCTCGAAGTCGGTTTTCTCACGTGGGAAATACGTACTACTAACTAGGTGTTATTTAATTCACTTACCCAGCATATATCTCCTCTGACTCTTATTTCACTTTGTATTCTTTTCTTGCATATATGTTTTCCCCAGTGGGCAGTTAATTCCTCAAAGTCTGTGCTGATTTTAACGCTATATCCTATAGCTCTTTGCACATTGTAGGACCTCTATAAATTTTTATTCACGTGAGTGAAATCATAACAAACCTTCAGCAGTCTCTAAAAGTCACTTCATTCTCATCTAGCCCAATTCCTAGATCATTTCTAAATGAATACCCTGTCCTCATGGCAAATGACTGTCCAAAGCCAAATTCCCCTTCTTAGTTCTCCCAAACTAATACCCTCTCCCAAGTCCTCCATCTTACCTGAAGGGCATGATGGTCCTTCAAAACTTTATATTCAAAAACTGAAATTAATTCTTAATCCACTCTGCATTCAAATCGATTACAGCTCCCTTTAATTATATTTCCTAAGCATTTTCTCTTATCTGCCTCTTCCACATTCTTTCCTTCACACCTGCACTTCTGGAACAACTTCCTCATGACTTTCCTACATCCTGGCTTTCTTCTCTTCAATGCAGGCCATATGCTGTTGCCAAATTAATCTTCCTTATACATGTCTTTCATCATCATCAAACATTTCCTCTGTACCTTCTCCATATAGGCTGCACTCATACAGATTATATATTTTAAAAGTACAAAGAATTAATAAGCTTAGTACCTAAAGATGATGATAAATACCTTAGAAATTTAGTGAGGAATGATTGCTGGTCTTAGCTAAGCCTTCACTAAGAGTGAATCTTGCTTACAGATCTTAATAACTCTTTGTATCCAACTGAATCAAGGCCAAATTCTTGGTACCTAGCTATATATATATTTCAGAGAGGAAGGAAGAAGGAGAGAGAGATAGAAACATCACTGAGAGAGAATCATTGATCGGCTGCCTCCTGCACACCCCGCACTGGGGATCGAGCCCGCAACCCAGGCATGTGCCCTTGGCCGGAATCGAACCTGGGACCCTTCAGTCCACAGGCTGATGCTCCATCCACTGAGCCAAGCTGGCTAGGGCGGTACCTAGCTTTTGATAGCATCCATTGTCTGGCACTATGCTGCCCTGTGACTTTGTCTCCCACCTCCCCAAAGCAGGTACTCTCTCCTCCTCAAGCAATCCTCCTCTCTGTGGTACAAAACTAGGTTACTGTGTCTTTGCTCCTTTTTCACCCAGCGTCTTTCTGCCTCTCTTTCAAGATCTAGAACAAGTCCGACCTCCTTTATGAAAGCTTTGTTAATTATGCCATCTTTTTTCTCCGTCTATTATTCCATACAGGTTACTTATGTCTCCCCAAGTAAATTCTAAAATCCTGGAGGCGAGAGCCATATCTTAAGTGTGTGAACCCCACCCACCCACACAAGCACAGTCCACTGCAATTACTCCATAACTACACGAGTACATATAATGTCCTTATCGGCAAGGTAAACACGATGAAAGCAGTGCTTGAGGAAGATTAGAACGGTAACAAACGCAGAAAAGATTGGAAGGGGGCGAGGCCTCGGGGCATGGGTTTTGTGAATGGTATAACAGTACCTGGTGGCGGTGGGAATTGTACACTGGCTAAATTTACTAGTCGTGTGAGTTAGCACAAATCCATGAGTCTCTGCAAGCTGTGCATTTAAAAATGGAGCAATGACATAAGTTACTATTTGTTAAACGCCTTCAAGGAGCCAAACAAGTTCCATACACTACTTTCAACAAAGAACAAATCAATCCATATCTGTCCACTTCTCTTCTTTACTGCTACCACTACATCCCAAGCCACCATCCATGGTCCCTCTCCCAGGGGGACAATCATCCATTAATGGATCCCTGGCTCTATACTGGCTTCCCTACAATCCATTTCCCATGGGCAGCCAGACTGAGTCTTCTCAAAATGCAAATTGGATCATGTGACCAGATCAAGCTCTCTAAAGGCTTTTCATTGCTCTCAGAAGAAAATTAAAATGCATTTAACTCATTTCATGCTGCAGTTTTTCCCTACTTCTGAACACATCACGTATGATCCCTTTCCTCACTAGGCTCCAACTACACTAGCCACCTTTTCCTTCCCTTTATGTACCACATTCATTCCCTCCTCAGGGCCTTGAACAAGCAATTTCCTCAGCTGAGGATGCTCCTTCTTGCCTTTCAGGTGTCAGAATAATACCACCACTTCAGGAGAGAGTCCCCAACACCTAGCCTAAATCAGCACTCCCCACCCTATCCTTCTACTCTCCAACAAATCACTCCTTCACACAGACACTTGTTTAATCCTGCTTATCATACCTGAACTTATCGTGGTTGTTTCTGTATTTGCTTGTCTGTTTCCTCACTGAAATATAAATTTCATGAGCCAGGGAACACTGAATCCTCCATATCCAGAGAGACCTAGGCGCGTAGGAGTCACTTAATAAAAATCTGTGGGTTTGCTGCTCTAAAGAAAATAATAGGACTAATAATCCACTCTAAGTAAGGACTTTGCAAGTAAATTAAAGTATCTTGCTTTTGTTTCTAGCTCCCTAACGCAACAGTACTTCATTGAATGTTTTTCTTTTTAGAAATATTAGAAACCACAAGTATTTTTTAAAAACCCTTCCTTCTAATTCGCCAAGGAGGTACTCATTGGACAACCCATTGCTTACAAGCCTGATTTTCCTAGTTTTTGACTTTTCTCCTTAATCCCAGTTATTAAATATGTTGTAAAGTGCTTCTATTCCATTCATGGTAAAGTGCATTCAAATAGAGCTTTATTTGTGCACATCAATTTAACATTTTAGAGTCTAGAGGCATTAGGTCCCTTTGGGATCAGACATCT